CTTGTGAACTAGCTGAAGACATCGTGGGCAAAAATGGCAAACGGAACCAACTGGGTCCAGTTTTTCATCTTCCCCTTTTCCCTGAAAGCCTTTGGGGCTAGTGCTTTTTGCAATCAGGCGAGAAAGCGCGCGAATTATGGTTCTTCAGAGAGCCTTTTTCTCGACTCTTGTCATTGCTAAAGTAAATGAAATACTGTGGTAATCCATGCAAGCGATTGAACTGTTTGACGGGGCGCAGCTGGGAGCCAATGTGGCCTGGTTACAACAACGGTGTCATCCTGAGTCCGCTTCTATTGGTGGAAAATGTGCTCTACCTGCGCTCCAAACACGCCGCCGTCCTGCGTCCAATCATTTTCGGGAATAACGACGTACATGGAAGCAAATGCAACTGCGGCGTTGGTATACTTTGGTGCGTTGGGAGGAGAGGACACACAATAGCGCAATAGTCTGATATGTGAGACTAGTTCGGACTCGGTCGCTTCCGAGTGGTGACGAAGGGGCGTTCGGTGACGTAGGCAGCATTCGCGCCAGGATCCAATCCATGTAGCAGTGCTGCGGCGCATAGGATCTCTCTGCGCCTGCTTCTCTCAAACTGGCTAGCTCTCTCTGTGCGTGTGCTTGCCCGACCAGGTAGTTGCGAAATACTTTGCTCTTGCGCGTGATATCACGACTAGGATGTGGCGCTTCGCACTCGACTGACCTCCGGTCGCTGTGCTCTGAGTTGCGACTTTAGAGTAGGATAAGCGCCATATCTACATCAGTCGCCCATATAGCAAAACAGCATCTCTCGATAGCGTCGAGTTTGCAAGAAATTAAGCAGAGCATCAAGTTGAATCAGATGGGCCCTTGTGCGAATGCCTCCCAAGACGAACTTTTTTTTCCAGTTCCTCTTTCACTACTAGGATGTCCTGAACTATCCTACCCCCCCCACGCCGCACTCCCTTCCCCCCTCGCACGCCAAACAAGCGAGACCGAACGCTTCCGCGTTGCTTTACATTTTCACCATCTCGCAGTCTACGCCGCGCGGTTGTATTGGAGGGTACCAAAGACAGTATTTAGCGAAGCCCGTTTCGGGGGCCTGTAAATTCCTGCAACCAAAGAGCACCTTCGTAGCAACATAGGAGTCTACAGGTCTCACTGAGGTGTGGCCTAATATGGGTTAGCAAAAAGAACCAAAGCGACGAGAGTGCAGCATGCCCTTTCCAAACCGAACCGCGCCGTATGGTTGTAGACGCTATCTTTACATTCTTTCAATAAATGAAACATCAAAATCAGCAAATTCATTTCTGTTCGGGAGAAAAAAATGACACACTTGTTGATTTGAAGAACGCAAACCATGGTCACTACATAACAACTGATCTCTGATGACAATTGTACGTTCAAGAGAAAGGTCAAGTGATCGGAAGGACTCTGGAGGGTTGCAGATTTACCAAAACAAGGTGCTGAGAGTAATTTAAGAGAAGACCAGTGAATATAAACGAAAATAGAAGCACTTACTCATCACCCATTCGATTGGAACAAAAGAGAAATGAAATCTATCACATGAGAACATTATTGTAAACCTTGAACTATCACAGAAGAGCAAGGTGATTGAAGACCAGCGCTAGCACTAATGGACATGATGTCCTTGCGAACTGGGGGGTGCTCCATCAAAAGCTTGCAGGAGCATCTGCGACTAAGTTGCGTTGGACTGCGCCGGAGACTCCTTGTCATCTTTCGCATCTTTCGCTTGTTCTTCTGCAAAGCATGGTTCTGATTATTTTTGGGTTCTTATTTACGATATGTCTAACCTGTACCTTTACGCCGAATCCGCTCCGAGTACTTTTTCGATTGCTTCGCGTCGCCTGACGAAGTGGTATTCGCCCTGCTTGAAGCTGTTGCCGCTGCAACAGCCGCCAACAAACGTTCCGATGGCTTTTTAATGGGGCGTGATGGTCCTGCAAGAGGTTGGATTGAGAGTAAGGTGCCCGTAACCCATCAACTCACTCCCACTCACCTTCTTTCTTTTTCTGGCGTTCCACTGGATCTCGTTTTGGTGGCAGTCCTCTTTTGAGCGGTAAATCCAGCCGCATCGTTGGTTTCGCTTCAGAATTCTCGTCGGTAGGGCGCGAATCAGAAGGTTTTTCACCTATTAGTTAAAGGATAAGT